AAAAGCTAGGCAGCATAAAGGACTACCTAGTTGATAAAAAAACACCCTATCAAAATATTACACATTACAAAAGATTTTTTTTAAATATTTATTTCATCTTATGAATATTAGCTGTACAAATGTAAAAATAATTGGAATACAAAAAATTTCACTAATACTCGTTGCATACCAACTTTTCATTTCAGGGTATAAAGCTATAAAGTTGATATCTTGAATTGCAAAAACAATATTGATGATATATATCATTATTCACATAATCCATATTTTTTTCAAAATGAGATGATATGAGCCAAAAAATGCACTTAATTAAATAGTAATAGAAGTGTGTATTTTGTTGCAGAATGTTTTATTTCATACAAATTCATGTGTGTTTAATAATTATAATGGAGAATTCTTTATTATAACTTTTCAATGAAATACCAAAACGCTATGAAAACATTGTAATTTTACTAAAAGCCACCAGATTCATCCTAATTTTTTAGAAAATTTTGAAGTGTAAAATATTGTGAAATGAACAAAAAAGTACTCGGCACTTATAATCTACATCAATTACCAAACAGAAGTCAAAATATGCATAAATGGCCCCTACTGCGTTAGTAATGCATTTTAAATATGGTGATAAATACTGCAAAATACAGTCATTAATTGCACATAAGATATAGATTATCACTTGAATCTTTAATCTGTTAACTTTTCATAAAGTTTTAGTATGTTTTTTTCCAAGTGTAATTTCTTTGGAATATTTTGGGTCATCTGGAGGCATGCGGCTTTGAAATAATGTTTCATCAGATATATGAATGCACAAGTAGGTCAAACTTCATTTTCTCTGTGACACGAATACATATTTTAAACCTTGGCGAATCACTGATTGCAACACTGTCATAAATCGAGATAACTGAATGGCATAAACTTCATTTGCAGAGTTTCCATCTGAATCGACAAATTCATGGTATCTAATGTGACCTTACACTCAGTAACTTGTTCATCAATACTGGTATTCTCAAGCAAAAAGAAATTTGTGAAGAAAGTATCTGATGGAAAGTTTTCAATCTTCGATAAACCTGCAATTGAGATTGATACTTATTATACATAAAATAAAGAAATAAAAGACTATAAAAGTGCAAATAACAATTGACACCATGACAGGATATCCTTCATGATATCAAATGACACAGCTAAGGAATCTATAATTTTTAATAAAGATGTTGTTTTTTTTTCATTCAGATAACAAATTATGGTTTTCAAAATTAAAAAGAAACCTTACCAGGGTTTTTTTTTAGGAAAAGGGGAAGACGCTGGACGCTGGTAGGGAGGGGAAAAAATATACGAAAAAAGTCAATTTGGGGAAACTTTATTATGAAGTTATTTATACTATATACTTAACTACATAGTAGAGAGTTACAACTATATCTTTTTCCCCTTAAAAACTTTATCATCATGCAACATATTCTTTGCAGTATAACATATTTTCTTAATATGTATGGCGGTGAATGGTTTTTATACTTCTATTTTTGTATGAAATTTAATACAGTATAGGTATAATAGTGTATCTGTGACACACTTTAGCTCCATACAAGTCATTTTCATAATAAGAAGTACAAATATATTACTTTACTAAAAATAACCAAGAAAATGACAATATTTTGATAGCAACTGATTTCCAGAAATAGTACCGTTCAGTACGGGATATAGCCAAGAAAAAAAAATGGCTGCCTCCATGTTGAGACAGTACTTGCAGCTTCCTGCAAAGTTTTTGGTTATTTTGAACTACAATTGGTGGTTTATCCTGCATAAAATGAAGAAAAATAATATTTTAAACCATGTAAATATTAAATCTAGCTGATCCAGTTTAAAGGAAAAATAGAATTTTTGGGGGGAAAAAACTTGGCTATTTACCGAGGGGAAGACGCCGACTATCGGTGTCAATTTGTTAGTAAAAAAAACCCTGCTTACCTACTTCTAAAACATGATTTTTTCTACTTTTTTAATAATATGAAAAAGGCAAAGCCTCAAAGCGAGCTCGATGTTCTTTTTAAGTGAAATAGATCTAGTATGAAATAATCGCTTATTTTTATTTCAACTGCAGTAACGAGTGCGTGTGACGTCACACGTACTGTACGTGTTAAATATGGCCCCGCCCCTGTCGTGAAATGAATAACGAGTTTTGAAAACGTTGATAAAGCGTTTATTTTATTCCACTCTATAATTTTTCAAGCGAAATAAAGATTATTTAAAATGAAATAAATGTAAAACTTAAAACGTTTGCGACATTAAAATAGCGTACTTGATTTGTTTGTTTTCACGTGCTGTTTGGCGCTACATTGTGACGTCACGTAAACAATATTTTAAACGTCTGTACAGCGTTAACGACTGAATAAAAGATATTGGTGTTCGGATTCATTTTCTTAGTTAGACCATTTTCTTTCATTCTAGATAGTTTTCACAACAAAATTCGACAAAAAATTGTTTTTATTTATCAGATTTCAAACAAAATGGCGCCTTCGATTTTCATTTTTTATACACAGCTTCCGTTATTCTGGTTCCCTGTCCAATTATGGTTCCCATTGATGTGCGCGGGTGATCAGTCTACACATCCGTTTTCAGTCAGAATTCCTCAGTTTTTATCGTTATCTTTAAATTCGAAAGGTTGCGATGTGTCCAATTCGGTACTTTGGACGAAAGTTTTCAAATCCATCACTTAGCAGGTACTCGCGTTACCGTAAAGCTCGCTTTGCGAGCAGGCCCTTCGGGCCAGCTCGTCGAGCTCGCTATCAAACGATTTAACTGCAAATTCACCAATTTATGGTTTGGTCTCAGATTTCACCAAAAAATTGTTGAAATTTGACACTGAATTATGAAAAATCATACGAAAAAATTGATCCAATTTTACTCTCTTGCTATAAAAATGTCTATTGTTTACTAAACAAGAGCGATCAGTAATCACATGTGTCGCCTCATGATGGCCAATTTCATGTTGGGACAAATTTTGTGACAGACGGACAGACAGACGGACAGTGCACAACTAGACTTGGTTCTGATCATTCCTGTAAAGTTTGGATAAAATTGCACCAGTAGTTTATGAGGAGTAGTCCGGACAAGCTCTTGCGTATCTGGCAACACACAGAAAAGAACACCTTTTTATCAAAGGGCCATAACTCAGCCAAAAATCATTCAACCAGAAAACCCGTGCAATATGTGCAAGGAATTGAGCTTCAGATCAATCCTGTAAAGTTTCATTGAAATTGCATTAGTGGTATAAGAGAAGTAGTCCGGACAAACTTTAAAAATAAAAATTATTAAAGGGCCATAACTCTGACAAAAATCATTGAACCGTAAAATACTGACAATATGCACAACTAGACTTGGTACTGATCATTCAGTTTGGATGAAATCTCACCAGTAGTTTATGAGGAGTAGTCCGGACAAGTTTTGTGACGGCCGGACGGACAGACGGACGGACGTTCTCACAGGACAGTAATTATGTGGCTACTCTATTGTTCTCTCTATTGTTCTTTTTAGCCACGCAAAAGAAAATAGCCACATAAAAGCATTACGGAATGAATGACATCAAAGAGAACCTATTGTCCCTCTAGCCACATAATTACTCTCCTGTGAGTGCGGACGGACAGACAGACGACAGAGAAGTGATCCCTATATGTTGCCACTACTCCGTAGAGGCGACACAAAAATACTAACATGGGACAAATTTAATTGACATATAACTTTCATTTACGAGACAAAAAATGTACATCACGTTAGCATTCCGCCATTTTATTTTTCGGATTTTTGTCACAGTTCATAAAATTGGAACCCATAAAATTTCACTTTAACTCACTAAAGTTCCATAATCTTAATGTTAAACCAAAGATATTTAAAGGATCTTTCAAAATATTCTGCCAGTTTTCTTGTAATTTACTTCTTTCAACGAAGTTTTGCAGACAAAAATTACCCTTTCACGGCGATCAACACATCAACATCAATTTCGATTGAGATTTTTATTCTTTCAACAGAACACAGTTTTCACATTAGAAACTTTAAACACCATGTTAAAAATACATCGGATCAATGTCATGATACTTACAGAATTATTTTATTTACTTTCTGAGGACTTCAACCCCATAAAGTAAACATACCGATCAATTTTCTTGACGAACATTTCCTCCGCCCTGAACTAAATTTGTAAAATGGCAGCCCTGATTCCCGATTGGACGAAAACACACAGGAGCGATAATCTCCGTGTTTCCCGTCCCCTTATCGTATGTCCCAGGTGAAGGGGAATTTTTGAATCTAGCCACATGGTATAATATACACATGTAATTGGGAGTAAAAGATTCTAAAACAGAGATCCCTTGGGGTGATAAAAGAGGAACAGTTAAATATTGAAACACACGTTTTTATGTTGTTTTTAAGTTTGTTTTTTTTAGATATGAATATAAGAATGCTAAAATGATATTTTTGCTATTTAAAATGAAATGGCTTTCCATATAAATAACGTTTTGACCAGTGCACCAGTAGCATGAAGTCTGTTTAACTACGTCATACAAAATGGTCGACCATTGTTTACATTTGTAGTGAGCGAGAATTTCATAGTAACAGAACACTGTGATGCATTTATATGAGGATTAAATGTTAATTAAGTTGTTTTTTTCCTTCTTTTTTTTTCAAGTCAGTAAAATTTTATATGAAAAACACCTTGTATAAAATATGTACATCGGTATCGTGGGGACCCGGGCTATTAAATTCAAAATTTGTTTCTGTTTAAAATCAAAATAACAAACTGTCTGAGAGTCTATAACTCAAGTTTACTTAAACATGTTTAAAGCAACAACGAAGGCGGTACATGATTACCATAAGCGTTTTACAAATTTTCGGAAAATTTTAATGAGGACTTTGATCTCCTGTCTGCATCTACTTTCAATGAGCGTCTGAAAGGGGCAGATCAACCAAACTAGTTACAGAGTTGGGCCTATAGTTTCACTATCAGACCAATTTTAACTTACATCTTTGTTTCTTTACTGCAGTTTATTTTAATGTCAGTCATTTATCATAAAAACCACACATCATTTCGAGGAGAAATATGCTTTATATATCGCTTTAAAAATGATAAATTTTCCGAAATCTGGAAACATCAACTTCCGGTTCGTCAGTACGTCTATTTTCTGTGATGAACGTTACAATACCGTGATAGTTGACAAATGCGGTATGACTAAATAGCGAAAAAGACCCATTTACGCATATTTAGTGCATGTCATTTATGGTAATCACTTTATGACATCCCTTTCCTGGAGGAGGCGGAGTTTCGAAGTCACATGCTTATGACATCACAGAAAAACAAGATGGAGGCTTCCAAAACAGAGGCGCGGGAAATAGTCCAGAAAAAATACCATTTTTCTGATTCAAACTCCCTTCAAAAATTGGAAGACATCATCTTTCAACACGAGAAACAAACCAACTCTCTTTTCGTGTAAGTAAAGACCCGTAAAAATAAGCTTAAGATACCCAGTATGTTTAATTCTATTATTGTCCAAATTTTGTTAGAAATTATACCGAAAAGCGAACGGAACAAATACGCGGAAAGTGTTACTGGACACAGACAGGGACCCCTCGTGACCTCCCCACTCACAGGCACTAGACACAATTATTTACCCATATACGCTCATAAATACTATATATAAAGAATATTCTTTATATATAGTATAATGAGCGTATATCAGTGTTCATTCTAGGAGGGGGGATGGGGGGATTCACCCCTATTTTTGAGAATTCACTCCTATTTTTTCAGAGGCAGGGGGAAAATTTTGGTAACAAGACAACTCACCCCCCAGACGATTCACCCCCCCAAAAAGCAAGACAACTCACCCCTCAAGACAGTTCACCCCCCAAAATAGATAAGACAATTCATCCCTCATAAATGATAATCATGTTTATGGTTAAAAAAGAATAAGAAAGTCAATTAAGATATTTATTTATTTATTTTTATTTATTTATTATGTCATATTTACAAAATATAACTGTTTACAAGCACATATACCATGATGTATACAACAAAAAATATAATTTTATTCAATTAAATCAAGTTTATATTGAGGGAAATGCCCATAATGTATGCATTTTTCATAGACATATTATCTATCATTTTTTAAAGAGTCTTGATATTTTTATTGTATATGATGCAAACATGTACAACTGTTTAATTATCCATTATCTTAAAGTGTTGAAAAACATATTGTCTATTCTACATCCACTTTTTTATCAGAAGCACTTAACACCTTATCATTGCTTGATTGTCACTTCAACAAAATATCATGAAGAAGAAGTACATTGTATCATTTCTTTTTGGGAATATTGTAAGATTGTAAAATGTCATTTTATGTCATTTAAGTATAAACTATAATCGGGACGTTTGGGAAATATTGCATGATTGTCATTTCATGTCATTAGCACATATAATTAGGGCTGGGGCGAGTATTCGAGTACTCGGATAATCACGAATCAAAATGAAAAATCGAGTACGAATATTCGTCAGTCCAGAGATCGTGGATTGCGATCTTATTTGTTTATTATACATTCGCTGTTTTTTACACTTTAAATGTAAAAAAAATCAATTTGTGTATGAATTATGCGACGTTTACCTAAATACAATTTGCTCATTAAAGACAGGAAGTAAACAAACATGTACCATGATGCTGAGCTAGGAAGTCATTAGTTTCGAAAAAGGAACACTTTATCTTTATTGAAGCACTTGTTTTTAAATATTTTTAGAAGCTATGTATAGATCTATAATGATGTGACATGTATTGAAGACTGATTTTATTTTTTAGGAATCCACAATTTGCTAAACGCAAGTTAATACGTCAGTGTGAGATTACATGTATTGACTGAAAAGGAGTCGCGGGAATAATAAAAATCCACCAGCAAAATTAACTTCCAATTTTTGGAAATACTTGTCTTTTCATGTGATTAGGCAAGTTCGTTGTACCACCTCTACATAAGTCAATTTGCCATGGCATGTTTTACAAACTGCTTTTCCTCATTTTCATTGAAAGTAAATTTTGCTGGTGGAATTTTATATTGGGGCGACTCGTTTTCAACCTAGTTTATATTTGCATTGCATATATGTTTAATGAATAATTAAATAAATTTTAGTATCGTTTTAAGAAAAATTAACATGTTTTCAGAACTAATGTTCATGTTTTTATGGGTGTCTTGATAACAAAAGATTTGTGGTTCGATTTGTGAATCGCATGTGCTGAATCGTGGATCAGATCGGATCGTCACTTACACGACGATCCACACCCCTACATATAATGGGGATTAATTAGTATCATTTGGGTTGGGGAATATTACATGTCTCTGCCAGGAATCTGTCTAATCACTAGTTATCACTTCACTTAACAATTCGTCCATATATTTGTAATTTTTACAGTTTGTATGTAAATAATATGTAAAATATTAACACATAGTAACAATATTATTTTTAAGTAATAAATTATAATAATTAAAATTTAAATATGACTAAATATTTTATAAATTCATATTTAGTAAAGAAAACAACAAAATTTGTTTATTGCAAACAGCTAATTTTTAGATGAATTTCATCAAAAATTAATTTATAAGAAAATGAGGGGTGAATTTGTCTGTTGTCATTTTTCCAATAATGCGGGGTGAACTGTCTGATGGGTAAA